CCTGGACGAAACGGCAATTTCTTTCATTCTGTCTGATTTCCGCTGGGAAAACGCGTAAAATGCCCGTAACTCCCCAGGAGAAAAGTCTCCGCCCGAACCCTCTTAGACTTTTTACCCCCACCCGATGTCCTGTCGAATCACGCAAGAACGAATGAAAAAGGAGCACTTCACCTCGGGATGTTCCCTCGTCAGCTACACAATCCACTAAGCTTCAGAACTATGGCAGACAGTATTCAGGTCTACTGTAAATTTGAACATCGAATCAAGTATGATGTCTACAATTGCTATGCAGGAATAATGCCTTTTTATTACTTAGGGGTTTAGCGGGTGAAACTGTTTTTTACTGAGGACTCATCTTAGATGGTGAAATGCAGAAAAGCTTCTCATGAGTTGTAGACCTCATATTTTAAACAAAAGTTCAATCATTATCTTGCATTACTTCTGAGACGTTGTCTTATAACGTTTCTAATCAGTCATAACATAGGCAATAAAAATATTTACATTTTACCGTCACCAACTACAAAACATAAGTCACCCTTTTCTTACTCATCTCTACGGTAATATTAAACAAGTGATTACATGTACAAATCCAATTATAACATGTACAAATCCTTCTTGACTCACGAAAATTAAAAATTTATCTTGTCACATCGATACACATGAACTTAGGTGGTAATGACTAACTAGCAGACTTCAAGGTAATCATAGTTGTTTCTTATTACAAAAAATTCATTTTAAAAAAGCACATTTATTACATTGTGATTGAGCAATTCAGCTACGAAACACCAGTGAAAACAACACTGAGTCACAACCGATAATATATCTGCCTCATGTAATAGATGTTGTGTTTGTGTTGACAGTATGTATATATAGCTCGTAGAGACTGGTTGTTAGTCACGGTAACTCTCAAAAGCTGCAAGGTAATGACATTGGGTCTCTTTTTTGATATTCTGTTATGATTCTTTTTTTTTAGATAGATGAATGATCAAGATACAAAAAAACTAATATCACGTTAGAAATTCCACCAAGAAGAAAAACAGGAAACAAATACATAAAGAATAAAAACTTATGATAGATAAAATGCATTTTGAGTTGCCGGGCAAGATATAAAAAGCGAAGCGGCAAACTAATGCTGTTCAATCAAATCTTTTCTAATTCCGCTGTGAATGCAATCTGCAAAGATGTATGAGTATGAAGATTTTCGAGTATATAAAAATTTACGTATTTTGGACAAAAAAAATTACTTGAACGCTGATTTATATAGTCTATCTGTGATGGGATCTCGCAAGTGACGCGTTTTTTTTATAGTCCGTAACCTTTCATGTGAAAAATCTCCTGGGTTACAAAAAATGACTGCCGGACTCGAATTCAACTCTTTTTCGGGTGAGGCACTGTCGTCACGTTAATTTTCGTCAAATACAAAAAAGAAACCTTCAACTTTCGTCACAACCCAAAAAGAACTACTGAACTACTCCAGTTTGGACTAGAAGGGCTTGCATTTGGACTACTCCACTTTGGACTGCTGCAGACCACCTCAGACCAAACTACTCCCAAATACAACGGACGCTTCATTTTGATACTTTGAGTTTAGAAAAAGACTTCAAAAGGGATTTACGCGTTTCGCTAAGAAATGCGATGTTTGCAAAGAAAAAAGCAAGACGTTATTCTCCAAGTTGCACTGCTTCAGTTTACATTACTGCGGTTTGGACCACTCCAGTTTGCATTACAACACTTTGGAATAATGAACTTTGCACTAAACCTTGTTTTCATCGCAGCCGTTTCATGCCACTTGTGGCGAAAGTTTCGACCCGTCTAGAAAACTAGGCACTGTCGTCACAATCGAAAATGAACTTTCGTCACATAACGGGTTAACTTTCGTAACCACTATTCGAACATGGTTCAACTTTCGTCACATGCTACAAGAACTTTTATCACATGAAGGGTGAATTTTTGTCACTGGAAAACAGAACTTTCGATATGTGACGAAAGTTCACCGTTACCTGATGACGAAAGTGCTGTGAACCTCATTTTCGTCTGTCTCATTTAATCCATTTGAGCAGCTAAAACTCTATCAAAAATATCTCGTCAATCATATCAGGATTCATCACCTGTCGATTAACCTTGTAGTATTCAATTCTGAAAATTTACTCACGTTTATAGCCTTAATTATTGCGAAATATTCCAATTTTATTGTCAAAATGTAGAAAATTAAACTTCACTTGTAGTAGAATTCATATTCTCAAGTAATACTAAAAATGAACAGTTCTTAATTTATCTGAGAATAGCACGAGAGATATGTGTTTCGACAATCATTTGATCTAATTAGTAGTACAAGATAATCAGCTGCTATCTAAACTATAGTCAAACCGAATGCTTTACTTGCCTGAAGATTACACTATCAGATGTGCTGTTATAGCCTACCCTGAATACTATACTAATACTGGCAACTCATATTCTTTTCGTTATTATAGTAACTGCGTTAAGCAGTCAGTTACCTTCATGCTTGGTTCGCCAACTACCAGATATGTTTGACTACTTATTATTCCTCCATTTTTCACAGTGATCAGATAAAAGAATATGGTAATTCTTCCTCAAGAAACACTTTACATTTTTGAATTCGTCTTCCTCATATAATTATTAACAAAATCAACAGTAGAAACAATCATAAATCAGTTATTTATTGTAAATTGCAATTGAAATGTGTCTTATCAAACATACTGCGCACTATCCATCCCATTAGAACATTAGGTGCAAGCTCCACATAGGATCAAGCTTGATGAAACTAAGGTGGTATATGCATAATTTCAAGGCGAATCCGACAGCGGGTTTTTTATAATTGTATGCATGTCTACTTCTTCTATCCATCTCGCACATGCTGCGCATTTCAGAAAGTTCGTCTGAAGAATCTAACTTGCTCTAACTTGCTTTTACATGCTTTTATATTTAGTCTACTTTTCCTTTCCGACATATAAACATGCAAGAGGATAGAGAATTTTTCGTTCTGTTGTTTGTCACAACAGAAATGCGCAGCATGTGCGAGATGGATTGAAGAAGTAGATATGCCTTATTTGATACGGCTCTATTTTGTTCTCTCTTATATTATTAGACTTTTCTCTTTTAGCGTATCTTTATGTTTTTCTTGATGTCGCATGTAGATATGTGTATGTCAGACGGTTTACTCTCAGTTCGTCCCAAATTGCTCACTCTCACACCTGCTCGCCCCTTTGATGTTGTTTGATCTTACAAAGCCAATTTGGGACGAACTGAGAGGACACCATGTCAGACATGAGGATACATATAGAAAAGAAAAGGTGATCTGTATGCGACATCAAGAAAAAGATCAGGATACGCTAAAAGAGAAAACTCTATTATCTTATTCTCGTATTGCCTATATAAAAGAGAAAAGATAAAATGTGCGAGCGGAAAGGAAAAAAGAAGAGAAAAAGAAAAAATGCCTTATAAGAAATCGCAAAGACCGTGGCAACACATGAAAAACTCAAAATAGAATTATAAAGAAACCCCCTGTCGGATTCGCTTTGAAATTCTGCATATGGCACTTTAGTTTCATCAAGTTTGGTCCAGTGTAGAGCTTGCACCTAATTTCTAATGTATCAAATTAGAAAACACATGATTTCTTCTATAGAATTACAAAATTGATTAGTATCTATGATGGATTGACCATTGTATTAAAAATATCATTTATTTTAATATAGTGGCAAATCCATTAAATCAAAATAAATTTAAGTCATATCATTTATGATTCTAATTTACCTGCTTTTGTTATGTAGTCTGCGTCATATTTCATCATAATTATGAAATTTTTCACCTATATATATTTACTCGCTTTTGCGTACCCGAAATATTTTTTGTCACGTTACTTAGCAAATGGAAAAAATTGCACAGTTAACATGCTGGCTTACACTAAATCAGAAGCAGCAACAACAAGAACAAATACCCGAATTCGATGATGATTTTAAAAAACGTTGGAAACAAGAAGAAGAAGATGAGTCAGACCATAAAGAACAAAAGCAACCGCAAGAATGTACATATGAATGTTGCGCATTTTTTACTGATGATCAATGTGTTCGTCTTGGTTGTTGTCATATATTTCATGAGCACTGTGTATTAGAAAGATACTTTTGTAGTATATGTCAACTCAAACAGTGTCCAATATGTAAAACAAAAATAACAGAACTTAAATTCTTCACACTCAAAATGTAAGTAGATTTGATTTTTTCTGAACATTATTTATCGTTTTTTCAAAATAAATGTAGAGTAGTTGAACGTATGTGTCAGATAATAAGAAGACAAGTAAGAACGGATCAAATCAAACAAGAGAGTCCAAACTTAACAGCTCACTTTAAGTGTTAGCAGTTATTAAATTCAGTTGGATTATCTTTTGTTTTTTGAATATCTCTTCGCATATCTAATACCATCTGAATGAAAGATAATTCTATATCTACTTTTTAAAGAATCCGTGTACAACTGCGATGGCAAATTCAATTTTGCACACATACACACCCAATAATACAGGTATCATATTTAAATTACTTCCGTGTGCCGCTCGCTGTTCTCTAGATTTCGTGAGAAATGTTATTATCAAAATAAATGGTTCTACATTGGTGAGTTATCAACGATATTTTTAAACCGACCAAATTGTGACGAATATTCTGTGTGTCTCGATTATTCAAGGCTTCCTATTAATTAATATTTTTGGCCAATGTCGGTTCAAAAACATTAAATATCAAATATTCATCTGTATCATCCTGGGGAACAATTTAGGTGTAAGATTTCTGCCATTATTATCATACCAATAAAGATTGGTATTCACAATTATAATCTAATGCACTGTTTTCAATACGAAAGTTGAGTGAGGGACCCGTTTTACGCCTGGCAGTTACCGGAAATGAGTAAGTTTTTTCAGCAAGGACTGTTTCCTTCCTCTCTCCCCCAAATCAGAATCGCTAATTTAATAACATTAATGATGAGTCTGTGAATGTCATTCACAAATTATTGCCGCAAGTTGTTATCTGCATACAAAAAGTACTCATCATTCTTTGGTAGGAGGATCACCAGCGATTGGACAGTGTCACTGACTATCGACTATTTTATACATGAAATTCAGCTGAAGCGGCGTGAAAATCAAAAGTTAACCGATTATTTCCTTTTAGACAGTAGTTGAACAATGTTCGCCAGAAACTTTGATTTACAACCTAGGTGCCAGTGTTAGCTACAAAATATATTCGAACGTATCAGCCGATGAAAGAATCCGAACAACTGTTCCAGGGAAAACCATCAGCTAATGCCCTGTCAACCATGGTCATCTTTATTTCCTCCTGATGACCGATTGTATTGATCAGGCTTTCGAGTTCATCGTGAAGATTTTGGTGGTTGCCTACAAGGCTGACGAACTGGTTACAATGCAATGAGAGGTGTTGTACTACTTGTACAAAGATAGTGAGTAACCGCTTATTAAGGCCCCCCTCCCCCTCAAAATCGAATCTCAGCTAAGGTACAGGCTATAAACGTGAAATTTTCAGCATTTGTTGGTACTGATGAGAGGAAGCTGTGGTAAAATTTTCAGGTCTATATCATGTGTCTGAACGAAGATATTCACCAAACAAGGGTAAAAAAATAGCTCT